TGAACCGGCGACATTCCGCCTTGTAGCATAGTGCCTCAACCAACTACGTGTTTATTATATTAAAATAATTTGAATTATGCTTTATATGAGTAATTCTGTTTACCGTTGTAACGAAAGAACATACTGCCCCCACCCCCATCTTAAATTCGGAAGACTAAGCTAAACAAGAAACCAGCATAAGATGGCGGAAAGGTCAGCTTTTACTTCAACCCTGAAGATAGAGGCTACGTATCCTTCCGAAATGTCAGTTGACTTCCAAAGGACTTCATGACGTCATAACGCATGATATGGAACCCTTCAAAGGCTCGTTAGCTTGCTAACGACGTTGAAATCTTAGACTCGCTCTAATTTTCTGATCACAAACATTCCCATACATCTCTCAGCCTGTATTAATATTGGTATATTGTAGCGTGTAGAACCGTTGCTATGTAACGACCGCGAGATAGGCCGATATAACAGGGCCGTTTCTGGGCAACGGCTCGGTGAACATGTTCCCGCAACGTCAGACTCGAACGCAACAACAGAAAAGCTGTATTTTCTATGTGGTCCGTGTCGAGATGTTACAAGCAAGAGAGCCTGCGAAGAGAAGACTTGAGCCGGAGGCAGAGGATTAGCCATTGTTGAAACCGTTAACTGGAAACGTCAAGTTACAAACTGAGAAAACTAGACTGTGTACTCTAGTGAAATACAAATTATAGTAATTGCGATAGTGTCGTAGTTAGTTGTAGTTACAATTTGTAAGTGGTCAATACATCCATTCACCAATACAAGCCCCGTGTATAGCCACACTCAGACACGTGACAATATCATCCATGGCTTTTATGAGCATGGCAACATATTTACTCTATTTATATATTTATTTGTTTATTTTGTTAATCCATAAACATAACCGAAATTACCTTAATGACGGACATTTAATTAAACCTTCTGTCCAATAGAATTGTTGTAATGCTGTCTTCTATTGTATGGTTTGGTTCCTCGGGTGGTCCATTCCAACAGGCCTCCCACACTAAGCTCTCTGCGCAAGCGCGTTGAAATGCGGGCACTACAGTACCACATTTCTTTAAATATCATAATAATAAGTCTGAATTCGACCTGAAAATCTCCTGATTAATGCAAATCTTGTGACTAACAATCCTTACATGGCAAAATATTATTTTTCGGTAATGTTTCTTTTAAATATACGCGATTTTTTGTCCTGATATATAATTTTAATATTGTAAATTCAACTACATTTAACAATTCCAATTACACATTTTGGGGGTACAGAGTAGGATACTGTGTGCTTCCATAGCTCAGGGATTTAGGCACCGGCGACTCACCGCAGAGCACAGGGTTTCATTTCCGGTAACTTCATGTTCCGTGATGGAGGACAACAGATCTTTCTCGGCTATCTGCTTGTTACCGCTGTTAATCACCATTTCTCCATACCTACACATAAACCACCCTCTGAAGTGTGCGATAGCCCTGACAGGCAGCACATTATCATACCATATGCTTTTAAGTTTCAGACTTTATATCTGACCCGACACGTCGTTGGCTTAAAAGTGAAGAAATTTAAAAGGACAATAAAACTAATAAATTTATTGTATCAACAATTTAATCACAAACTTCGTTTTAAATATTTTCATTGCAGGAAATCATAAGAGTTCATCTGATTTTATGTACTTTGAGAATTGCTAGTTCTTTGAAATAAGTTCGCTTAAATGTCAATATTAGAAACATCTATAAACTTGGAAGACATGCTGAATTTGAATTGCACGACTTACACGATAGTTCTGAATTCTAATTCTTCAAGAAAATCTTCATTTTAACTTAATATTTTAAAAGAAACTCTTGAAACTCGTTAAGATAAGAGATTACAGGTACCTGTTTCATGGAGCCTATTTATACAATCTCCATACAGTATTCACTTTCTCCTGTCCATTAATTGAACGCAAAGTCTGGTAATTAGTTTCCATACTCTATAATGCCATCTGTTTTATTCACTAGTTTTTAAAAATAAATTTCATATATAATTAAATAATAAATCTAAAATTCTTAATAACTTCTGCAATAAATTCCGCAGTATATATTTTATGAAACAACGTCGTTAAATAAATAATATAACAATAAATATATACTTGTTATGTTCGTGGAAAGGTTATATAGAAATGGGAAACATATTTTGAGGCAGTTTATGAAATATAATTTAAGAAACCGGTTCCAAATACCCAAAAAACTTGTAACACAAACCAAAAATAACTTCCTGCTTACATTTCCTGATAAAAACTGAGAGAGAGTGATATTCTGAAAGTCGCATTTCTTTTTCATGCGGATATTTGAAAATACCCCAGAAATATCAGCATGACAGCATAATTCATGTTACATATATCTAACATGGGGCACGCGGTAGCGTAGTCGGTTGAGGCACTATGCTGCAAGTCGGCAGGTAGCGGTTTCGATTCCCGATGAAGTCATTGGATTTTTTTTCAATTTACCTAATCCTTCTAACCGCACTATGGCTCTGGGGTCGACTCAGCCTCTAATATCAATGAGCACCAGGAATTCTCAAAGGCGGCCGACCGGCGTGTAAGGCTGACAAATTCACCGCCATCTGTGAGGCGATTTTCTAGAAAATGTGGGAGCCTCGACGTCACATAACCCTATGGGCCTCCACGGGCTGTTACAGGGATAGCTTTTACTCATATATAATTTGTACTCCCTCACAGTAAATTAGTGCATTCTTAGGTATATCTAAATATTTTTTCTCGTAATTAGAATTGATTAATGTCGACCAAGGTATTGTAACTTAAAAAAAAATAGAAACATATCGTATTTCTTTCGTCTTCAAACAAGCAGAAGTACCCGTTGTTCTCCAGGTCTATGGTTACTAACGCTGGCAATATGCAGCGGCTCAAATTTCAAAGACGGGCCAATACTCAAATCAAGGAAATTTGAAACGTTATTTTAAAAATAAAAATTTATATTTAGGAATCGATTCGCCTTTAAAAACTGTACTGCATTATTTTCACATCTCGCTAACAGCCGTGATTGCCGTACATGTTGGCAAAATTGCAGAGAAATTTCCTCAACGTATCTGGGTGTTCTCCAATAGGTCCGCGGAACGGCACCCAAATTTTTCTCGTGTAACCCTTACTCTGGATGGTCCTAATTTTTTCACTGGCTCTACAGCCCCCTTGGGTCCTGCTCTCTGATTTTTTCAGTTTCATGATCATTGTACAGACGGTAGGACTCCTTGGACGAGTGATCAGCTCGTCGCAAGGCGGCTACTTAAACACAGGTCAACACAAACACAATAAACATATACGCATACCAAATATCTATGCCTTGTGTCGGATTCGAACCCACAACCCCGACTTCCGAGCGATCGAAGACAGTTCATGTCTTACACTTCTCGGCTACCGTGACCGGCGGAGGCCCCCAAATTACTTTTCCAAATTATACCAGTAAATTAATTGAAAATCAAAAGCTCGTGTTTTTTTCTACATATTTCACAAAACTTACTGCCTAACGTGAATTAAATAATTCGTTCACGAACACCCAGTTTAGTGAGCACTGCTCAGAAACTGCAGGCCCCTGGCTTAGTATATCTCCCAATCTTCTCTCTCTGTAATAGTTATTGAATTATTATTTCCCTGAACATGCTACTGAGCACTGCTCGGGTCCTGAATAACATTCATGCGTGACACGGACGTATAAGGACATTGGTTTGGTATGTCCCGCCGTGTTTCCTTGTCTTTCGAAAGTTGAATAATTTATGCTACTTTGGTTATTTTAAGTTATAGATTAACCTTCACATAAGCTTATATTTAGAAACGGAATAATAGGCGAAAAACAGAGAGTTTTTCTAAGTAAGTTTCTTGGCCGCGCCATAGCTCAGGCGGTTAGTCAGTGGCTTCCCACCGCGGCGGCCAGGTTTCGATCCCTGGTCTAGTCAAGTGGGATTTGTGGTGGACAAAGTGGCGCTAGGGCAGGTTTTCTCCGAGTACTTCGGTTTCCCTTGCCAATCTTCATTCCATCAATTGCTCCACAATCACCCTCACCTATTATCTGGGGCTGGTACAATAGGCCAGAAGTGGCCGCAGTACAAGTACAAGGGATTTAGTCCCACCCCACTAGCATTAAAAAAAGGTAAGTTTCTTGCAACAGTTATTCTCACAAATTTACAGAACAGCACCGGTGTTTTAGAAGCAAACAGTTCTACCGATTCATCATTCGGGCTACGCGAAATCTTGATTTTAATGATTCTCTCTATCATGTAAAACTAGAAGCAATTAAAATAACAACTGTCCTTAAAAATATATTTCACAATGGAAATAATTAAGGAGGGAGAAGTAACTAATAACAGTGATGAACAAGCATTCACAAATTTATTTTAAAATGAGTTGTAAGGAAAGTTTCGCACTTACACGAATGACTATTAACCGTACATGCGCGCGAACACATGTCGACAGCAAAACGCGACGCTTGAAAGCGAGGAGACATCAACGTCAGGCTAAGACAGGAACTCCGTGGAGCCTAAGTAAGCGCACCTCACATGACATTCCCTCGCGAAAATAAAGAACACGTTAATTAGGATCATAATTTCAACAAATGTGAGAGAGAATTACGCACTTATGTTCAGTACTGTACCGATACACATAATTTGTGTTCCAGTCCGAAAACGCTGTTGACATATGCGGAAAGTACTCGGATATCCGTCTGCACATAAAGTTTTCTCACATAGTAAATGTCGTAGGGTGTCTGGATCGAATCTTGATCAGTATACCGACGGTATTTACTGAGCTATTTCGTGGTTTTCTCAAGTCCCTTCACGAAAATCCATATTTCTACTTTCAAATCACTAATCACTGCAAAATTCGACGTAGTTAGAACTACTAACAGCTTAGTTAGATAAACCATACACAAATAAGACAAAGATTATTTAATTTATGCAATGAATATCAAATTCTGAAAGATATTTTCCTAGCAGAACGACGCTAGGACATGAGACTTACGACGTCTGTAGATGCCGAAGCGGTCGCCGCCGCGGGCCCCCACCACCTTGCGCCAGCAACAGTAGCCGTCGTTTTTCCTGCACCAGTTGCCGCTGAATGAGCGTCGGCGTCCATCTGACTCCTAACACTGACGTCTCCGGCATCCCTGTCACTCACATTTTAGCACTGTAACACTATGTCGAGTCAAATTTCTCTTTCGCTTTATTTGGTTTCCTATAATTCAGATATTTACGTAATATTTAGTGTGTGTAACGATGTAATGATTCCTTCACACGCAACGCACAATCAGTGACATTTAGAAACAGTTTTCACACATCTGTAGAATTTCCTTGTCGTTACTTATTGCTGCGATGTATCAAGGATTTCATCCACAAGGATTCCTTCAATGTTTCTCTCTGCTCCTTTACACTACCAACAATTATTTGTAAATTATTCAAACGTGTTATACATTTCGTTACATTAAACTCCTTCATTGGCTCCTTTCAGAAATAAAATCAACTTTCATGCAATTAACTTTTAAGCTGAGTTATCTAATTCACTGTTATCTTCAGCACCAATCAGACTAGAATATTATTTTTATATATATAAATGAAGGATAACTTCATACTTGTTAACACTTACGTATTTTAAATAAAATTTCTGAACTTCTCTTCAAATTCTTACATTAAAAATAATCTTCTCTTGTCTAAAAATACATTTATTTGACCGTCTGCACTGCAACAAGTCTCTTCCTGCATAGCACAAGAAACAATTGACACACGATATGCGCCTATCGATGCATACGCTAGATGCTATGAAGTCGGCCACTGGCTTGAAGAGCCCCCTTTCACCTGGCCACTGGTGCGATGCTGTTGTGTGGATTTGTTCCTCCTCCTCATAGCAAGGCAGACTCCCTCCACCTCTCTCTACCACTTACCATCAACATGGTCCAGGCAGGTATAACCTCTAACTTCCACCATATTCCGCCAGAGAGAGACACGCGTCGGAACATCTTCACAGCATCCGCTTCGTGGAGTGGCCAGTGACATCACTCCTTCTCCGATGTACAAATAAGAACCGAGTTCTTCGAAATCATCCTTCCAAATACTTTTCAAAAGCGTGTGAAAATTACGACACCAGGGATATCCAAAGTGGTGTACTCCGTAAATAAATATACAAAAATTTAACTACTTAATTAAAAATTATTCATTGTGTGGCTTTATTAGATCATGTAGTCCGATAGGGGGTATGTTACCCTGAAACGTTGGTATTCACCCATCAGAATATACGGTGTCATAACCCAGAAGACTACGATATGGATCTTCAACACCATGTCGAATTCAAATTTTATTTACGACTCCGAAAGCAAAATCGAAAGCGTGATTATATTTTCCATATATTTCGGACCCTAGGCCATCTTCAGAAGAGTCCAAACAATTATTGAAGAAGAGTTTAAAATTGTATTATTAATATCACATAAATTTTTAAAACTTAGTCCCGAATACATACAGTTAAACACGTTCATAATTCAAAAGGGCGGTGCAGGGAGGAATATTAGATGCTGAATTTCTTATATTTCCTTTACTTTCACATCCCCTGTACTACTGGAAGATCTATATTGCATTCAGAATTAATTATTTGTTTATATACTTATTTATTTAGTGGCTGATCTCTCGACGTTGCGTGGGAGCAATGCGCGCGCATAGTTAGGAAATGCAATGCATTCAACAGTCACAATGCTGGCCTTGATGGTTTTGATACAGAGTAACAGAACTGCAATATATTTTATTGTTAGTGGGGTGGGACTAGGTCCCTTGTACTGCGGCCACTTATGGCCTATTTTACCAGTCCCAGATGATAGGTGAGGGTGAGTTTGGAGCAATTGGTGAAATGAAGATTAGCAGGGGAAACCGAAGTACTCGGAGAAAACCTGCCCCAGCGCCACTTTGTCCACCACAAATCCCACTTGACCAGACTCGGGCTCGAACCCGGGCCGCCGCGGTGGGAAGCCAGTGGCTAACCGCTTGAGCTATGGAGCGGCTGCAGAACTGCAATACAGTCCATTACAATATAAATCTTATAATCTTCGCGATTTAAAAACAAATACTTTTATTTTTTAAAAATATAAAATAAAATTCTACAAAATCTAAGACGGATATATAGAATTAGCGATGTTTCTCTTTGCCCTTCTAAGCTATATCGAACGCAATGAAAAAGAAACTCAGTACTCAAGAACGAACCGTTCTCAAGCTATTGGCATAAAATTGGATTCCGGGAATTAAGAAAATGTTGGAATTTTTTTCCCAAGTGCCTTAAATCTTCATAGAGCAATGTACTACAGCGGAAATTTGGTTGAAATAGGTGCAACTCTGTGTAAATATTGCAAAGAACACACACATGTACATATAAGAGACAGCAGACAACCGCGCTGCCAATAGCTAATTCTATACAGCGTCGGATGACAGGATGAGATGAATAAACAACTGGGAAGGATGTGGAAGGAAACAGTCCTTCTTTAATCTTAAGCACTATCCCAGAATTGGAGTCGGGATAGCTCAGTCGACATAGTAACGGGCTATGGGCTGCACGACTGGAATTCGATTCGGATCCTTGTTGAGATAACCAATTTAACAAGGAACTTGGTTTATAGTTCTTATAGGATGTCTGATGGACCGCCTCTGTGGTCTAGTGGTCAGAGCTCCTGGTTACAGATCCGGAGATACAGGGTTCGATTCCCGGCGCTACCAGATTTCCTGAGAAGTAGTGGGTCTGGAAAGGGGTCCACTCAACCTTGTGAGGCTAGTCGAGGAGCTATTTCAAGGAAATAGCTGCTCCGGTCTAGAAAACCGAAATTAACGGCTGTGGGGATCCGTTGCACTGACCACGCGACACCCTCTATTCGCTAAAGTTGGCACTAAACTTCGCCGACAAATGACGTTCGCTTGGTCGGTGTAGTTAGCTTGCGAACTGGAAGCACGGAGTTTGTTTTGTAAAGGATGCCTGATGATGACCTATGCATAGGTCGAAACATGTAGCATAATTTTACGCATATAATAAAAAAGTGAGGTACAGATTAACATGCGCTTGTCTTCTCTTGAATGCGAACCTTTCTTCTTTCAGCCGAGTAATACCTGAGGATGTCTCTTGAGAAGGCAGTCGAAGGCGACTGAGTTAGTTGAGTTGCAAGAGTGAGGCTGTGCACTGAAGTTACAGTAGGATTTGTATAATTACTGTGTTGAAATCCGTTGCCAGGACACGACTAGTGAAGACTGAGAACTCTACTGGGTGTGTAACGGTGAACTATAAAGTGTGTAGAATAGCGACAGCGCTGTATTAATTGTAGTTACGAGTTGAGTGCACAAGTGCACTAAATCCAATCATCCAATCCATAGTCATTCACCCTGAAACGTGACAATGTATTATTGTGCCAATAAATTATGTCCACACTTGAGCACCCGCGACGTAGTTAGAGTGAGAGTCGTCATTCAGAAGTCGATATCTGCTAATGTATTTGCTCGCTGACAATCTTAATTTCAAATGTAAGGAATTTTAAACGAGTAAATGTAGGATTGTTGACATAGAAACATGTCATAGTTGTACAATCTGAGATAATCACAGTAGTAGTTTAAAGAGTCCTGTCTTCTGGGATATAATGCTAAGTACCTGGCTGAAAATCCTCCACCTTTCAGATGAAGATGTCACCTCTATCTTCATGGTTGAAGAGTAAGTCAAGCAAGAAATGTCCGTTGACTTTCAACGAACTGCTCGGCCAGATATCCCAGAAGATAGAACTCCTCTTCTTAGGATTGTTCTTTCGAAATTTCTGAATAATGCAAGTGAATAATGTGACCCCGTACTGTCTGGAAGATCCTACAGACCACAAGGTGTCACATCGTTAGAACCATAGTCTTCAGATCGCCAAATCTGTTATCGGGAACTTTCTGATGGGCACTGAGGAGTATTGTATGAGGCTGGGAGATGGCTGCAACTGACCCAGGATCGTATCCAGTGGTCGAGCCTTCGCAATCTGCTACCATTGCCTTAGCAGCTCGGTTCATCACTGAAGTACTTACACTGAAGCTTTCCAAGCAACTTGTTCCAACCACGAGTGCATCTTTATAGGGGTGGTCTCTGAATAGGGGGAAGATGGCTGGGAATTTGGGTCACAATCCAGGAGCATACAATTTATATTTTCACCACCATGAAAATGCCAAATCTTAAAGAGGTTATATCAGTTACTTAGTCATTCAGTCAGTCGGTCTTCTCTTTGCGCTTTATTCATCCTCGCTCCCAGAAGCCCCTAGCCTCGAATGATTTGATGAATAATAAATTAACAAGAAGTCCTGGGAAGAACTGAGAACATACTTTTCTTTATTCTACATGAGCCGCATGACTCTTGGAGCTGAGGCCTTCTTGAGGAACCGCTAATTCTGCAGCTACTCAAGAACTTCCCAGAATTTTATGGAACCCAAAGGATCGTAACCGTGTTCACAAAAGCCCTCCAGCGGTCCCTATCCTGAGCCAGATCAATCCAATCCATACCATCACATCCTATCTCTCTGAGATACATTTTAATATTGTCCACCCACCTACGCCTTGGTCTTCCCAGTGGTTTCTTTCTTTCTGGCTTTCCCGCCAATATCCTATTTGTCTTCTACCCCATTCGTGCTTCATGACATAAACCGCAAAGGAGAAAAAAAATTACAGGGATATACAAACACACAGGCAGCAAGGCGATCTCATAAGCATCTTGTTCATATTTTTCAAAAATAAAGAAAGTAAACTAAAAGTAATAAGTAAGGAAGGGGTATTTTCCTAATTTGAGGTACTAACCCGGAAGTTACCCCCAGGGACCAGTAAAACCAATAAAACCCTGAGTTTGTGTAACCTGTTTCCCCGTCGAGATTCGAACCGATAACCTGCTCAACATAAGTCGCACAACAGTTACAGCTTGAGCCAACTCAAATGACGACAGCTATACTAAGTATATAAACAAAATAAATAACAGTTTACAGAAACATTAGTTCGTATTGAAGAAATGGAAGAATTCGTATCCATAGGGGGAACAAAGCAAGGGACATTACGTACAGAGGTGCAGTAATGGCTGGTACAATAGCACAGAGATTAGAAGGGCCGATACGTGCTACAAGCCTGGTCACTTACGCTACAAAAGCGTGTTCCGGAATCCATTCTGCTTACACCTATTCCAATGACAGATAAATTTCCCCTGAGCTCTAAAAAGCTTCACGCCTTGTACACGTCTGGGAGTGGACATTTTAACCCTGGCACTAGATGGAAGCGAATCGTCAGCTTCGCGCTCTGATCACTTTAACCCCATGGAAAAAGTCCCCGCTGCCAATTTTATAACAAGCTGAGTATACCTCCTTCGCCGGGAATCGAACTGCCATTTCTATGTAGGACGCCCAGTCATAGTTTAGTAACTATACTGACTGAGCTATCCCGGTTACATTATATAATCAGATATAATTTAAATCTCCGAAATCTGCAGAAAAATGTAACTTGTTTGCAATTACAAGTCGGTAACCTCATATTATCTATCAATAGAATTGTATAGATTACACAGTGTGATCATAATATTCATGTAAATGAGAATATGCAGTAAACAAACACGAAGAGATGCGTGATAAGTGCCCGAGAACAAAGACAACTGGACCAGTAGCGCTGCATAACGAGAATAAAGCGAAATAAAACAGAAGCGTAAGAACGTAGCATGTGATAAAGTAACTCAGCGGATCACACTGTATCAACTATTTGTTGTTGTGCTTTGTTCGACTTTATTTACATCGAATATTATGTTACAAACTTCTGTCATTGAAAAATTGTTATATTACCAATCTGTTTTTTAAGATTTAGCCGTGAAATTTGATTACACTTTACATAAAGTATGGCTGAAAAAAGGTCGCTCCCATTCTAAGGCACCACAACATGAAGATGTGTTGAGAAATGCAGTTGAAGCTCCACGCATTCTTAAAATTGATATTATATTAAGCTGAATACTCAACTTCACACTCAGTTCTCAATCCTACGAAGTGGGGGGTCCGAGAAACGGTCTGGACACTGCGGTGAAGTAAACGAGTTCTGCTTCTCCCGGAAATCGAACCCGGATGGGCCAGCCTTTAACACGTTTCTTTACTGGAGGCTTCGGTGCCGCCAGAAGCCAACTGAAGCGAGAGCAAGTCACAAAATACGTAAAAATTAGGTTGTCCTTACCCTTAATGAATTACTCACTATACCATGAACACGTATGGGGAAGTGGAGGTACAGCTCCACCATTTTTGACATCTGCACTGGATGGAGATGAGTTGTCAGCTTCACCTCCGGGAAAGAACCCCCGATAACCATTGGATAGGAGGCTGGGTAGGCCAGAGGGTCAGCCTGGACGCTGTGCAATATGGAAAAATCTTGCACTTCCGGGAATCGAAGCCGGACTTTCTAGTCTGTAGCCCGTCGCTATACAGACTGAGCTACCGCGACTCCCACAGACTTATGTTTGGGACTATTTGTATTGATATAAGCACACCATTCAGAATAGAGGAATGATTTTTTTAAAAGTATTTCAACTTTTTATATGTATATTTGACATATTTCCTTCTTGTTGTCAATGTTTAATCTTTTTTCATGTAGGGGGTGCAAATTCTTGGATCACCCCACCCTGACTCTACCAATTCCCGTAGCTATTTCCCCTCATAACTGGGATGTTGTAAAGAATGAAATGAGAACCCAAATTGAAGTTTTGATGCAGACAATTCCTTCAACTCCAAATTCTATAAAAAATCCTGTGAGAACATTTCAGAAATGACATGTGAAGACGAAGAAAAATGACCTCATTATCGTGCATTCATTTCATTCGATTTGTGGAGGAGAGTCCTTTTATTCTGACCAGATTTCGAGGCTACGCGGTTCGTATTATTTGCTTATTAAACGACGCTGCCAATAGCTCCTGTTATACAGTCAGATTATACGTAGAATGATTAGTTAGCAATGATTTGGAGAAGATGTGGAAGGCAGCGGTCGTGGCCTGTTTTGAGTTATTATACTGGTATTTGCCTGGAGGAACTGATGGAAAACACGAAAACCATCAGTCAGGTTAGCCCGTCTCGGTACCGAGGCTGGAGGCAGTTCAAAGGCTGTGGAACACTGTTCTATTGTAACTAACACATAACGGGTGTTGGTGTAAACATTACCGTGCATTTGTTCATGCCTGAGAATATATATATATATATTTTTTTTTTCGGATTCGCGGAACCGACCCCTTTTAACAGGTGTTTGCATGCTGACTTACCGACGATTGCCTGTAAGGTTCCCACGATCTGCGTGCCCCCCGCTGAGGCCAGGCCAGAACGCACCAGCTCCCGTTTCATGAAACCAGGGGTCTCAAAACAGTGGTCCCTACTTCGAACCTGACTTCAGGTCTTATCTCAAACAAAACAGCGGCTTATTAATTAAAATGCTAAGCTAAACTTACAGGATTTGAACAATCTCACAGCGATGCCCAAGAAGTATGTGCCGCCGTGTAGTATGGTAGATATTTACAAAAATACAGTGACTCAATTTTCAAAGTCCTGGGGAATGTCGGTAAACATATAGCAGACGTCACACTATTTCTGCAAGCTAGAGATACCCAGTTCGTGACACCCCATTATGCAGTCATCTATGGACAGCTGCAATACTATACGTAGGTGCCTAATTTCTTCGAGATCGTTTTTTATTTTTCAGGATATTTTCCTTATTTTGAACAAAAAAAATAGAATGAGGCTTATGAGATCACCTTACTATCTGTTCGTCTGTGTATCCATCCTAATTTCTAGTTAGGAGGTTTATGAGATCACCTTGCTGTCTGGGTGTGTCTGTTTCTCCTCTGTTCTCATTTCCTGTGTCTGTTTCTCCTCTGTTCTCATTTCCTGTGGGGTTCATGTCATATCAAAAGGAAGTAGGCAATTACGAGGATTTCTTCTCAGAATTTCTTATCTCTGCGTCTACTTTTTTATTTTCTATTCATTTTCTCCCATTTAATAGTTTCGTTTCCTTTATATCTGCTTAATATCCTTCCTCCTCCTTTTCTGTCAATTTACTTCATATATCTTCTTTATGATTGTTCTTCTCTCTCATTTCTTCCTTTTCCGCATTCCTCTTTATCCGCCCTCTATAACAATGTAATTTTTATCTGCTACTACATCTGTTTTCCTTCTGTTCTTGTTCCTTAATCCTTTAAAGTCTAGTGGTCACTATATGTACCACCTGTTTTAACATAATAAACTCTGCATTCTGCTCACAGAGTGTATTTGTGTGTTCCATATGGTTCTCACAATAAACAGCGACTGTTTCCCTAAACAGCATTAACCGGTTGCGCTTTGTAGTGGAGACGTAATGTGTTTCCTTTGAGGTACGGACTGGAATATTACATATTATTTGGAAGAAATGCAGTCTTCAAAGGGTTAATCTGATTATTCTTGACATTTTATTCCGCCTTGTTCAGCTCAATTATACACTGAGTGTCTGAAAAGCATAATAAGAATTTTGTATACGTCCGCAAGAGAAAGAGGCTCTGAACATGGTCCGAGCCTAATAAACGGGATATGAGATGGATTTGCTTTCAGAGAGCCTAGGCCTTGTTATTCTGCTTCTGACTCTCGATGGATTATTGTGAGCTTCATGTTCTTCTTCCGAACAGTGTTTGCAGTGTACATAAATGTCTGTTAGTGTAAGGGTACAACAAGGCTCCAGTAACGGACCGCTATGAGGAAGAGCTGTCAGGCAACACCCAGTCTCTGGGAGACTATAGGAATTTCCTCAAGAGTGCCCTAGAAGCATTTGCAAATACTCTTGATGTGTTTCAACCAGAGCTACACAGGAAGAAGGTTTCCATGCACATGTTTTAACGTACGAGATTTTGCTTTGTCACCTAGGTAAATATGATATTGTAATCCACTGGTTTATGACACCGTGTAGTCTAGTAGGTTATTACTAAAGTATAGGAGGTCTCATCTACACTAAATATGTATGAAGTATGTGCCTATGAAATGTTGATGTCCACTTATGAGACTACATTGAATATTAAACTATAAAACCCTATCTGATGGTTTTAACATCAGTGATGATGGAAGTGATAATCGAAGTTGAAGTAGACATGCAAGTTGGCAAAATATTGATAACTGGTGGTAAAGTTGAAGTTGGAAATTTGCAGATTAAATGGGATTTGTGGAAAACTGATAATTGAAGCTGTATCGGAAATTGGAGAAACTCTGATAGTTTCAAAGTGGATGTTGGAGAAACATTAATAAAAATAACTCAATAAAATTTGAAAAACAAAACAGAGCCGCAAAATTGGCCATGAATTTTGGTTATCATTGTTTGTACCATAAGCATCGGAGCCAACAAACATATTTGATTGATCCTTCAAAGACTGACTGACAGCGAAATTGCTACTGGCCCTCGTCAGCCCCACGGACTAATGACCACATTCTGTCTGACGGCTCTGGGAGCCTTCAGACACAATTTCTTCTAAATAATATATATAAAATCGGTCCGTACCTCACAAGAAACACATTACAACTCCGCTACAAAGCCCAACCGGTTAATGCTGTTTAGGGAAACAGTCGTTGTTTATTGTGAGAACCGTATGGAACACATAAATACACTCTGTGGGCAGAATGCGGAGTTTCAGTACGTATGCTGGTGGTACATATAGTAACCACTGGGCTTTAAGGGATTAACCTCCAAAATACGGGGAAAAATTTTAAGAAAATGGATCCGACCAAACATAATGAAACTGTAAAATATCGAATATTTAGAAAAATGTACCTCCCTTCACTTTTCTGAGGTCAGCATAGAAATCTAGTTCAAATAATTTACGGAACTTTCACTGTTTTAGTGTGAACAGTCACATGCCTCATAAGCAACAGACGAATTTGAAACCTTTTACTGAACAATAAATATATAAAATGACTATGCACAGTTTAAGGCAATGATGCTGCATTTCTCTTCAATTGCATTTATTTTTTATGACATCCTTAATATTTTGAGCTCGAAATCAGGTAAAAAGTACATTTAACATATGCAGAATGGCGAAACAGAAAACACTAAAAGAAAAGGGAAAAATATGATTTGAAAGTTTGCCGACGGTGATGATCTATATTGTGGTCTTCTCTTTTATGATACCGTGTAGTCTGGTAGGTGGTAATATTTCGGAAGAACACTGCCAGCAAGAGAGGAGTAACGAGTTTCTAAAGTTGGTTATTTAACGACGCTGTCAGTATCGGAACTATACAGCGTCGGTGAGAGGATGATTAATGAATATGGAGCGGCTGCTGGAATGCAAACTGGCAGGGGCAACCGCAGTACCCGAAGAAAAACTGCCCCAGTGTCACTTTACCCACCATGGCCTGATATCGAACACGGGCCCTCGCTGTGTGAAGCCTGCGACTAACCGCCTGAGCTTGGACAGAGCTAATGGGTAATGAGGTACGATCCTGGGACCACATACCAGGCTAAACTATGTCACAACCCAGATTATCAAAACAGGAACTTGAAGTATTTAACAACATAAATCGATACTGCTTATTCAGGAAATTATGGATAAGCACAGAACTGGTTTATTTCAGGCGAAAGAGTAGTTGTCCCCGTGCTTAGTTAAGCACCACACCATGACGTCGAAGGGAAGTGTGGAGATATAGCTCCATGAATTCTTAGCCTCAGCACTCGGTGAAGATAAGCGGTCAGCATCACCCCTCCACTACTTTAAGCTCAGGGAAGCAGCCCCCTGTACCCATTTTAAAAGAGGCTGTGGGCCCCAGCGCCGGTCTGGGGGTTGTGGAGAAGAAAAAATCTCTTCCTCTTGCTGGGAATCGAACCCAAATTCCTAGGTTTTCAGCCTGTAATCAGTACATCAAATAAAACATCTGATAGTGTCAAGCAGACGGTACTCATATGTGGAAGCAGAGGTCACGTTTGATTTTATGGTATACTTTACTGTCTTTTTGCTATTCTATCAGGATTATTAAGATTAAGATTTTATAGGATGTGACGACGTAAAATTTGGTAACAGGGCTCACGCTTCTATGCGAAAGATTGAGCCAGCATTGTCCCCCAAATCATTTGTACTGTCAAAATTTAGGATTTTGACTATAGACGGGGTATGGACGGGCGAATGGATTTATTGACACCTTACAACACACGACTCGAAACTACAAGGAATTACAGCGCCACCGCTTATCTTCACACTTCACGAATTACTGCTGCAAACACTCCAGCCTGCGCTGCCTTCAACAGTCGTTTCCTGGTAACGGATACTAACAGTGGAGATTCTTCAGCTTCTGTGCTCACGTCGTTACTTTCCGTTGAATATCCCACAACTGAGCTATAGAGCCATCTCTTCTCAGACTCCCTTGCAGAGCTCATCTGAACTGTCAACTCTTTCAATTCTACTCAGATGGCCTGGGGTCCTCGTTATATAGCCTCGAGCCGGACAAAACAGAAAACACCGCTTTCAACAGTCACTCTATTGTTGTTATGAGCGGTTGTCTAACGACAACCCGGATATTGTTGACGCGTTTATCGGCCATTACCAAGTAACGGCTGCCGTCCCGCTGTCCACCTCGACGTCTCTGTCCAGTAACAGGTGTGTATGTCACAGTACATATCTGCCGATGTACAAGGCGTCATATCCCGTAAATCATATTTTAATACTGACCGCCGTGAGAACCTCTCCGATAGGTTTGGCATAGCGGTAACGCTCTAGAGTTCTATCCGGGAGGTGCTAGTGTTCGAAACTCGGCTGGGACATCGACTACCTTCACGGAGGTTTCTCGTAGTTTTCCTCAGATCTTTCAAACGAATTCCAGGATATATCGAAACTCACTACTACCTTTTAATTTCATATCCTTTCCAAATCACCATTCATCTAACATGCAACCTTTCGACGCTGCATAACCCAGCTACTGAGGGCGTCGTGAAAAGAAAGGACACCCTCATATCTCTATATGTCAAGATATCCTCATGCTCTGGGATCTGTAGCCAGGACGCTGGGACACGCACGCGTGACACCCCTGGAGCCACAATCTGCAGGCCACATCGCTCCAATTATATATACAGCAGGTACACTGTATCAGAGACAGGGCGGTTCCGTGGTACAGAGCAGTGTTTCTCAAGCAGTGGGGCGCGTCCCAATGATGGGACATGAGTGAAGTCTCCAAACCAGCAATAAATTCCGCTTATGCAAACACGTTGCTGCATTACAATCGTATTATTTCCGTTCCTATCTCCTTTCCGTCATAGCAGAGTTTCTCAGACTTGGGGTCACCACCTCTTAGAGGCTCACAACGCACTCTAAGCGGATAGCCGTCGTCTCCAGAATTATTTAAACACAATTACATCCAAGCAAAATTCTTTTGAAAGTCAGCAAGGTTTAGTATATTCGTAGGTGCTTTCGGGTAAAGTAGCTGCAGCCGGCGAAACATGTCGCGAATTTCTTCTTCACTGTACAGGAACATTTTATAGCTTACTGCAGGTGTAGAGAGGCTGTAAAGCTATTTAGGTTCCTGCTGCCACCGTACAGTCTGATAGGGACCTGCTACAATGTGCAGAACTGCACTTTTCGTGACTGTACAGGAACATTTTATAGCTTACTGCAGGTGTAGAGAGGCTGTAAAGCTATTTAGGTTCTTGCTGCCACCGTACAGCCTGATAGGGACCTGCAGCAGTGTGCAGAACTGCACCTTTCGTGACTGTACAGGAACATTTTATAGCTTACTGCAGGTGTAGAGAGGCTGTAAAGCTATTTAGGTTCCTCCTGCCACCGTACAGTCTGATAGGGACCTGCAACAGCGTGCAGAACTGCATTTTTCGTGACTGTACACAAACAGTTTAAAGCTTACTGTAGGTGTAGGGAGACTGTAAAGCTATTTAGGTTCCTGCTGCCACCGTACAGCCTGATAGGGACCTGCAACAGTGTGCAGAACTGCACTTTTCGTGATTGTACAGGAACATTTTATAGCTTACTGTAGGTCCTCCGTAGGGGAACATACATATACACGGCCTTGCCGTAGCTCAAGCGGTTAGTCGCTGGCTTCCCACAGCGGCGGCCCGGGTTCGATCCCGGGTCTGGTCAAGTGGGATTTGTGGTGGATAAAGTGGCGCTGGGGCAGGTTTTCTCCGAGTACTTCGGTTTCTCCTGCCAAACTTCATTCCACGAAGTGCTCCACAATCACCCTCACCTATCATCTGGGGCTGGTACAATAGGCCAGAAGTGGCCTCAGTACAAGGGACTTAGTCCCACCCCACTAACAATAAAAAAATTATACTTATTAATTTAGTTCTATAAATATACTTCTGATCTACATAAATAGCAGCAAGTAGTACTGCCAACTTTGCTGTATGGAAGTGAATATTCATCAATTACAACAACATAGGTAAAGAGGGTAAAGTCAGCAGAGATGAGACAAAGGCTGAGCTAGACTAGGGTATGTTAAGAAGTCAGTGCGAATTAGAACAGATGTGTACAGGAAGAAGTGGACACGCCATCTGGATATAATGACCGCTGAAATAATGCGGAAACGAATTCTGCAGTATAAAACAAAAGGACGCCAAAAAGCGAGGGAGATCTCGGAAAAAGCGAGATGAGCATGTGAAGCCTGAACAGGTCTGAATGCCTCTAGGCTTGCCATGAAGTGAGAAAGTGCAGTGCTTTTATATAATTCTTTTATTTCTATATAATCTACAAAACTATAACTTGATCTCTGATGTTATGGGGACCAACGTAGACTGAGAGTGTTTTGGAACAAAATGCCGAGGAGATATTTGAACCGGAGGAAAATGGGGGAAAGAGGCTGAAAGAACTGCATAATGAGGAGCTTCATAACTTATACTCTTCTAAAAGCAAATAATTAGAATGATCAAGTCCAAGAGGATGAGATGGACAGGGTATGTAGCACGAACGCGGGCGAAGAGGAATGCATATAGGGTATTGATGGGAAAGCCAGAAGGAAGGAGTTCACTGGGAAGACCAAGGCGTAGGTGGGTGAACAATATTAAAATGGATCTTAGAGATATAGGACGGGATGGTATGGATTGGATTGATCTGGTTCAGGATAGGGACCAGTGGAGGGCTCTTGTGGATACGGTAATGAACCTTCGGGTTCCATAAAATACTGGGAAGTCCTTCAGTAGCTGAGCAACTGGTGGCTTCTCAAGAAGGCCTCAGCTCCATGGAATTAGTTAATGGTATTTGAATTCTACTTAAAGACCGTGGATAGTAAATAACCTGATCAAGTGTATTTATTTATTTGTAATATTTATCAGAGCACAAACGTTTCGAATAAATGCTGTACAGATAAATGAAACACATTTTCCCGAAAACCTTGAGTTTTCCGAGACAAACTCGTCAGAACCGCTACGCTCTGTGTTCGTCACACCTCAATCTGATTACGACACGTTTACTGGGCCACTAATGCCAAGCTCGCTTTGCTCGGATCAAAACTTCTGTACACTCGCCATTAGCCTCACAGAACATGTAAGCAATAGTACAATGTCTATTATTCCCGATCTACACAAAATACAATAGCACTGAACTCCAACTTCGAAAGGTCCATTATCATCACGTGTGTTTGGATGGAGCCATCAAAATGTCACATTTGAGAACCTGTCAGACAGCAGACAAGGCTACCATACCTACACCTTCAGACATCCTCAAGCACTTCAGTGTTTCCACGGCGGCAGCTAAGTTTTGCTGGATCTGAGATTCGCACAGCAGGAAGTGTGTCCGGTATAAGTAGCCAGACGTTTCGAAGGAACATACTGACTCCTTCCTCGGGCTTTCAAAGAAATACTGCCTATATCAAATCCTGGTTTTCTGCATGCATTCGCTCTGCTTCTTTTTGATTCTTCATTTGCTTCACTCGGAGATTCTGAAGATGGAGGCAATAAGTTTCTGCGAAACGTCAGTAGACTTCTACAGGACTAAATGGTATTACATCCTATAAGGGAGCAATTTTCAGGATACTGTGGCGTGTAGAGCCGTTGCTATGCACCGACGGCGAGATAACAAATACACTAGAGCTGTTTCTAGCTAACGTATCGGTAAACAAGTTTCTGTGGCAACGAATACGTATGCAATAATCGAAGTATTGTTGGACTATAACAATGGAAACGGGGCGTTTCTGCATTGTCCGTGCTGAAATGTTATAAGCAAGGGACAAAGTCAGGGACAGTAACGACGTGAGCAGAGAAGCTGAAGAATCTCCATTGTTAGGATCCGTTACCAGAAGACGACTAGTGAAAGCAGACTGAGAAGACTTCGCGTGTGCTCTAGTGATTTGTAAAGTGTATGGATTAGTGATAGCGTTATACTTACTTGCAGTTACGAGTGGTGTGTACAAGTGACCAATAAATCTATTTACCAATCCAAACCCCGTCTATAGACACACATAATATACGTGACAATATATTACTGTTCATAATGCATTTACTCATTCGTACAAATACGATATAGACTCTTAAGCTACAGTTTGCTTTGAGGCAGGATTGTATTGTCACGTGTAGTAGTGACTTAAAGACGGGTTTTGAATTAGTTGATTGGATTTTTGGACACTTTAAACACACAACTCGGGACTCCAGGCAATTACAGCGCTATCGCTGATCTACACACTTTACAGTTCACCGTTATACACACATTAGGGTTCTCAGTCTTCACTAGTCGTTCCCTGGCAACGGATTTTTAAGTCTCACTGTATCTCATCCTATCATCAGACGTTATAGTATAGCTTCAATACTGACAGCGTCATTGAATAACCAACACTACAGACAACTGAAATATCTGGGTTCGATACCCGGCGGTGGCACAACATTCTTCTCTTCACATTGGAGTCGAGATGGGTTTACCAAACCTTAACCGATGGCTAAGGTTATCACGGAGGTGCAGGTTCGTACTGTGATATTCTGGGTGTAGTCTGGTAGACGTTTACCATTGTTTCGAAAGAATATATTGTCTCCATCTTCATGGTATAAACAACTCGATAGTTTTATCTTTGCATCGTATGTTTGAATAAAACGTACAGGGATAATATATTAGACTTCCAATTAAGTAAAGTCCCTGTGTTTAACTACGTGCCGCCCCCTGAAGATTACGGCGGAGTTGAGTTATACCTGCACCCATTCATAAACACGGCATTAGATGGAAGCGGGTGCCTAGCTTCAAGCCGCGACTGCTTTACCCGTCGAGGAAAGAGGCTCCAGCACTCATTAAGAGAGGAGAATTGATTTCTGGGCCCCAGAGCGGTTCTCTGCTGAGAAGAAAAGACTCTCTGCCCCAACAGCATTTGTGTCAAACACATAGAGACGTCAGGGAGGATGTCATAAACACTCGGTGTCTGCATTTGTTTACAGATCAGTCGCAATCACAGATAAAGCAATGGGCCGATGGGGGAATCACAGGAGGCACAACATACAACCCCATCGTACCAAACACACCGGCGCCCAACAGAGTATCTCCCTCGCTATTGGTCGCTACACTAAGGAATTCTTTGAGGACACAACAATACAAGGATTGCGGTACATTGTTGCTGCCAACACACACCCTCTTGAGACGTGAGTACAACGGGTACCAGGTGTAGAGTTCTCTTGTGCTTCATCAAGAACCTCGCTCTGAAGGATAACGGACTTTGGAGGTACAGCTCCATGAAATCTTAACCTCAGTGCCATATTAAAGTTAAATTCTCATATCTCATGTAAATGCTCTCGAATAACGAATGTCGTACTTTTCCTCAGTCTCTCCAGGTAAATTCCGAAAATTATATCTCAAATTATATCACGTTCACTTCCTTCCGCATCCCTGCCAGTTCATTTATTTTTTTCTTCTTTCCAGTCTGGGTTATATAATATCAGTACTTACAGAGTCGTTAAATAAGCAATAAGTACAATAAAATAACTTGATGATGATGGCGACTGCTGATTTGTCTCGCCATAAACTATCAGCATAAAAGTAACTGACCTACAGTTGCGTCACCATTTCTGTATTGTTTGGTCGTATGGAAGAATTTGTAAGGCTCTAAGTAGATATAAGTGCTGAGTAAAATGAAAGATTGATTTATTTATTAAGCGTATTATTTACTGCTATAATAGTTATGAGTAAAAAAGTAAAGTAAAGCTATCCTTGTAACAGGCCATGAAGGCCCATAGGGTTGTGAGACGTTGAGGGGTCCCACAGTATCTAGACTCTAGATGGCCTGTTACAAGGATAGCTTTAATTTACTTTTTTACTCATAACTATTATAGCAGTAGACAATCGGCTCAAAGATGGCGGTTAGGTTGTCAGCCTTACGCGCCGGCCGCGCTTTACTCCGCAGGAAAATTATTTATTTAATTCCTGGTACTCATTTCTGTTAGAGGCTGAGTGAACCCCAGGGCCATAGTGCGTCCGGAAGGATTAGGTCAACTGAAAAAAATCCAATGACCTCATCGGTATTTGAACCCGCGACCTTCCGACTTGTAGCATAGTGCCCCCAATAGTTATGAGTAATAATTTAAACCCCATGTTTCTTTCTTTAAAGTTTCACGTCTTGTTGACACTTAGAATAGTGAGGACTTCCTCATTCAACTATGTCAGCGTACTTCAAAGTTTTGAATTGATTGTGAACAGCGATTACGTCTTAATATTTCCTCATTTTCGTACATAAAATAATATAAAGTTATGGTACTTACAAACCCGCCATATTCCCAATTACTCTCAGTAAACTGTGTAACATACTTTAACTGTAGTCAACTCAGTAATGATTCTGCAAGTAAGAAAAACATACGTCCCTCAAGTTGCAGTATTAATCGCCAGATGGCAGAGTGGTATAGTGCAAAGGTAATCACGAACAACTTTATATTCTTCTTCGGAACTGTTTTTATTTATGTGTAAGAATTTTAAAATAATCTGTGTAATATAAAATAAATAATTTAATAAGCAATTATGCAATAAACACCAAAGAAATATTTAAATACATAATGATATAATAAATAGCTTTGTATAATATTCGTCCTGTTCATTTGATTCCGGAATTATAATTCCCAGCTGGTAAACCGAGGCAGCAGCGATAAATTCGCATTTCATTCACTTTACAGGCTGCTTAAAACGAAAACTGTCGGAGCTTATTTCGACATGAAATTAGAAACGTGTAAGTCGATTTGAAGTACATATACTTAAGAAATACATTTCTGATTTTGTATGCCTCATTAATATTAATTTTCATTTGTTCCAGACACAAGCATACAAATACATTGCTGCAAACCTAACAACACTACAGAACTAAACTACAGAGTAACTAAAATTATTTCTTTAATCCGCTTAGTGGGGGGGGGGGGGGGGAGGCACACTGGGGGA